ACTTTGAGTGGCTTACTTTTTCCTTTCTCAGCCTTCATTTTCTTATCAACAAAATCACAGGGCCAGACTCGATATGCTTTGTGGTTCCATGCACCTCTTAACCTTATAATTCTATGAAGGAATACTCTTTCTTTACTGCCGAGAAAACTGAGATTCCTTGTCAGTAAAATCACCTGCCCACTCTAAAGGGAAACTGTTGATGATGAGCTCTGGGTTTTCATGGAGTTTCTAGAAGGTAATTCTTTGACAGATAAACCCCTGCTAAATAAATGTATTTAGTGTTTGGAGGTCACTCAAAGACCCTGGTTAATTAACTTATTTTTTTCCCCATCAGATACAGTGTCTTGACAATCAATATGTTACAAGTAAGGAAATGCTTGTCAATGCCCCATCTACAGGCATGTTATTATCACTGAAAGTGTTGGCTGAAATATTAATAGCAATAATCACAATTCTAAACCATCCATTACCCAACTCCCAGAAGTTAGTGACATCTTTACCCCTCTCTTTTAAGGACTTTCTCAAAAATTCTTGGAGATTAATTGATCAAGAATCAGAAGCTATAAAATCATAGACAGAATTAAAGAGAAATGCAGAAGTCATCTGTAAAAAACTATGGAAACTGATTTGATTTTCTAAGAATCCTGTCTATATACCATTAATGTGCTTATTACCACTCCCAGTTTTTCTGGGGAAGAATCAGGCTCACCACTTGCCAGATATATTTCTTCAACAGAATTGCTATTTTTATAAATAGTCCAATTTTTTTTTAGAAATAGTCCAAGAAGTGTGATGCTACGACTTTACCTTAAGAACCAATCACAAGATATTTCCTGTGTGACGTCTTCCATGTTTCATCCAATGGCCCCAAATCCCATGGATCTTTCAAACTGATTAAAGACTTGTCCACCTATTATGAGGATGTTTTAAAGGAAATTATTTAATACCCACTTCATTGTATTGATTAATTGATTAGGGTGAAGAGAATAGAATCCTGCCCTTACACATTTAAAGTTTTACAAGTCTAATAGTCAGTCTAATAGTGACAAGAACTGTCTCCGGAAGAAAAAAAATAGGATTTGAACTCTTCATGCAAACAAATACGTGAAGGATTTGCGACTTTGTATGTAATACCCGGGGCTCCCATTTATGACTTATGACTGTGATATCAGTATGTGATACCAGGGTCTTCCATTTATGGCTTAGTGGATAAGTCCTAGAGAATCTCTTGATATACAGAGAGGTTTTGTAACTTGCCGAAGGGGACATAGCTAGTAGATGTGAGAAGCAGAATTTTAACCCGGATCTTCCTGGCCCACAATCCAAAACCATGTTTGTTGTTCAAGGTCACCTCTTTATAACTAACAGCCAGATCATTTCCCTTTCTTTTGCAGAGGTTTTGATAAGGAGGGAGTACCATCAGCACAATGTCTTTGACTTGTACAACTGTCTTCTTGGTCTTGAATTCTGGGTTATGATAAAGTTCCTAGAAGGTGGGGCTTTGACTGAGATAGTGACTCACAACAAGTAAGTAAGGTATTTTAGCAGTACAAAGTGCTGTTGTCTTATCACCGTGTTTCTAACACTAGTGCCACATAACAGGTATATATTTCCTTTAAAATTTCCTAAGCATTAAAGAGTGAATTTTCAAAGGAGACTAATTAATGCTTTAAGTTAGAACACTTTTCCTTAGTGAAAAGGAGGAAGAGCAAACGGAGAAAACAGACATTCATATAAACAGCAAATAGAGTACTCTAATCTGAAATATCCCTAGGAATCCTCACTCTAGCCTCAGCCGGGCTGGAGCTGGGACCATAGAGAGAAGAGTCTTAAGAACATTTATTTTGGAACTTTTACTCAAATAAACTTCACTGAAGCTGAAGTTGTCCCCATTTTGCAGAAGACCACCTAGTAGGGGGAGTCCAGTGCTATGGAGCTCCTTTGTTGCTATAAGACCAAAACAAGTCACTTTCCTTTTAAGCCACCCCACCTCCACATGGTATCCCACAGGAGGGGACAAAACACACAGTTCTCAAGCTGGGTGTCCCCCGCTTAGAGAGAACTTGCAAACAGGGTACAGAGAACCCAACAGCGGGCAGAGATGAACCACAAGGCACAGAAGCCCCAAAACCGGGTGCAGAGGACCTCAGGTCAGGTGCAGAGACCACAACCAGACACAGAGGCCAACCTATCCACCTCCCCCAATGTCACAGGGAAGAAAACAACACAGGCTCCCCAAGCAGAGCATCACCCACTTAGCAAGAACCTGCAAATGGGCTACAGAGAGCCCAAAATGACCTCCAGTCAGACTGGGATGCTGGCCTTACCTTGATTCGAAGAGGACCTGAAGCAGAGACAAGCCCACTGGACATTAGAAATGATGAGGTTCAGGCACATCCTAAAATGTCGGGTTGCAAAGCCATCACAAAAGAATCCTCTCAGGTTGTATCCAAATCAAGTAAAGGCATTTATTGGGAATAATGCAACACACCAAGCAGGCTCCTTCACATCTTAATGGAACCCCAGCTTCAGGGAGACCCAAGCTTAAAGGGGAGGAGGGTTGAAGGCCCCCAAGGGAGAGGGCCCCTGCAAGGGAGATGACTGCTTAAGGAAGGGGCCTGCTTAGGGGGCACACCCCTCCCCCACTTCAGAAAGATTCCCACACAAGTCAGGAGAGGCTTGGCAATTATTACACCATAAAATCTGCAGTGGGTGAAGAGATGAAGTAGTTCAGGACAGGAGTTCTGAGTTTCTCACATTACCCTTATTCCACAATTCAGCCTATTTCGCAGGGCACGCTCTCTCTCTCCTTAGATTTTGTATTTCATACACCAGCCTACTTGAATCTCATTGGCTCCTAAACTGGCTTCAAGTGCTATTTGAGATAATGGAGTGCTCACTGACCCCTCTTTTTGGAATCTCCTCATCTGCCTCCTCAAGAAGTAGGACCCCAAATTCATTTGGGAACAAAGGAGAGTGTCATGCATTCCTCAACAATTCTCCCTCAAATAAGTGGAGACCCAAATTCTTTGGAGACATGGGCGGAGGTCTCATCTTCTGGAACTACTTCAGGCTGACAAGGGGTGTACAGCTGTCCCTGCCTCACTGGGTCCTGGGGAAAGGTAGGGGTAAGGAGGGGGAGGGGAAGGGGACAAGAGACTGACTGGAATGGAGCCTAGGCCAAGTCCAGGGAATGAGGGATGGCTATGGATAGGTCTCCTTCCAACAGTGCCATCTGAAATTTGATTGAGGTTAGCCTGGAGGACACAAACTTGTTAGAAGATCCAAAAGGCAAGGTTTCCACATGAGAAGCAACAAGACAATGAGATAGGGAGGACGGGAGGCAGTCAGGAGAGGGGACAGGAGAGTGAAAAGGTTACAGTGAAAAACCAGAAACCTCAGCTCCATGATCCAGAGGGGAGCAGCTAGCTGGAGACTTCCTTCATCCCTTGGCCTTTTGCTAAGTTGGGTGTAATATGTGTCTCATCCTGCTTTTGAATTCTCAATATAAACACAGCACGATGTGTTAACAAGAGCACAGACTCCCCCTTTACAACTGTGAACAACAGGGGCTTCAAACATGTGGCACCTTCCATTTTGATTCCTCCTAGCTTTCTATACCTTTGTCTATTAGCTTCATAATCAGGCGACATCATTTTCATGTTCAGCCTTTCCTCCTAAACTTCTTCTCACTCTCTCATCATGCTTCAACCATCTGAAGCTGGCACAAGGGTACACAGAATCACTTTCCAGGGACAAGAGGGGATTGGATGTGCCCCATCTGTCCCTAAACCTACTTATCTGCTTTCCACATTTTGATCAAACCTCATTTCGCTTTCTACATCTTTCAAACCCCATCCTCAGACTACTCAACCTTCCTTTACATTTCTACCATATTCCTAACTGCCATATTCCTACCTGTTAAAATGAATGTCTTATTCAAACTCTACTTTCTCAAGCTACGCAGTTAATTTCAACCCAGGAGATTCTCTTCATCAATCTGCATAAACCTGCACTGTCTAGTCCTGGTCCCAATATAGGAAGAAGTTTGTGGAAAAAAATTAAATCACATCAGTCCCAGCCTCGGGTGATCTAGACAAAAGAATCTGTCTGCACCCAAACTTGAGTAGAACACAATGGGCTCCCCTACTTTGGATTCAATTACTTACAAGCTTGGGTGGTTGACAAGGATAAGGAGCTAGGGAAAAGAACTTCAAATCTTATACTTGCATGTCATTATAGTAACTCAGGGATGTTCCAGAATCAATCAATCATTTAATAGATTTAGTATTGTGCTTACAAAACTTCTTGCTTATAGAAAATTGCTATAAAACAAGAGAGGCATCACTATACAGCAACGGCATAATACTTCCCTACCTTCATGTCAATTCCAGACAAGTTACAAAGACCGCCAACCGCACTGGGCCAGGCTTAAACTCAGCAGGTGGGATGTTCCTATTGGGGGAATGGAGTCAAGTTTACAAAATATGAGGAATCATGGGGACTAAGGGCCTGATCTGCCTGTCTACCCCATGAGATTTTCCTCTGCACTGATTGATAGTAAACCACATACCTTCTGGAACTAATAGAAAACTTTACCCAGTTAAAACAGTATTATGTGTTTGAAACATAAAACAAACCCATTACCAATTAGTTGACTTCAGTTCTGTTGAATGCATGAACCAGCATGTCCAAATTGCTTTGTACAAAAAAAAAAATCATCTGATTATTAACATTTTGCAACTGCAACTTTCAGTTTTGAAATCATATAATTTTTTACCACATCCTTTAAAAACCCAATTCATATACAAATTTCAGATCAAAAATTTCTTTCTCTACCACCATTTCTGGCTCACAGTGGTCACTCAAATTTTATGATATAAGAGAATGTTGCAGTACAATGTAGAAATACAATAAAAACACAAACAAGGAACCAGATGACATCAATTGCATTTCCAAATTATCACACAGGAAAATTATTGATAGAAGGGTGGGCTTACCAAGTGCAGAGGCTGGCTGGCTTCCTCTTACTTCCAGCTGGGCATTGCCTAAGGGCCGGGGTGGCCTATGCTAGGGCCTTCCCAGCCCTAAATTCCTGCTCATACGGTTCAAGGGATGCTGTCCAGTGGGTACAGCTCCCTTCTCCCCTCTACCCACAGCTGCACATGCAGCTTGAGGCTTGGGCTGCTTGCAGCTGCTGGGAGGGTGGACAGGACAAAGTGAAACAGGCTGACATTCCAGGCCCTGCCCAAAAGGTCGTGCTGCAGGGCCCCCAGGGCTACAGGGCAGGTATGAACAGGGAGGGCACCTCACCATGCAGGTGAAGGTGACCCAAGCCCCCACAACTCTCTACAACCACCATCCCCAGTCTGATCCAGAATTGTAACCAGGTGTTTCAGAATGGGGTGAGCTCCTGGATTAACCTAAAGTCTCTGGAGTTTTCTCCTGCAATCTTCAAATGGCCAATTTACCAACTCCTTCATGACTAATCTCAAAACCTCAAAAATCTGTTAAGATGTTTTAACTGTTCTAACTTTTCACTGTAGCTTCAGCCTGGCTACAGCCACAGAGGAGAGTCTTCAGAATTTTTTTTTTCATTTTACTCAAATGAACTTCACTTAAGCAGAATTTGTCCCTGTTTTGCAGGAGGCAGCATAGTAAGGAGTTCCAGTGGTTTGGGGGAGCTCCCTTCTTGCTGTATGGCCAAAAGAAGTCACTTTCCCTTGAAGCCACCCCACCTCCACGTGGCATCTCACGTAAAAGCACCAGGTTCTCAAGCTGGGCATCACCCACTTAAAGAGAACCTGCAAACAGTGTGCAGAGACCTACCACAGGGAACACAGTCCCCAAAACCAGACACAGAAACCCCAAGCAGGCACAAGGGTCAACCTATCCACCTCCACCAGTGTCTCAGGGAAGAAAGCATGACAGAGCTGCCAAGCAGAGCATCCCCCACTTAACAAGAACCTGCAAATGGGATACAGAGACCCCTAAACTACCTCCAGTCACACTGGGGTGCCAGGCTTAACCTCTATGTATTTAGAGGGGGACTGAGACAGAGACAAGCACATTGGGTGCCAGAAAGGATGAGGTTCAAGCTCATCCCAAAATGCTGGAGGGCAAAGTCATCTCAAAAGTATTCTCTCAAGCTGTCTCCAAATCCAGTAAATGCACTTCTTGTGGGTAACAAACCCACTAGGCAGGCTCCTCCATTCCTTAAGGGAGATGCAGCTTAAAGGAGAACCCCCTAGTTTAAAGGGGGTGGGGATGGCAGCCAGTCAAGGGAAAGGGCCCTCCCCCAAAGGACACGGCCACTTAAGGGAGCCACCTCCCAGATTAAGGGAGAAGGCAGCTTAAGGGGGGCAGTCCTCCCAAGGCACCTTTCACTCATAGTTTTCTCTCTGCCTGCAGCATGGAAGGGCTAAAGTAATCCATGTGGCCCACATCCTAACAGACCGCACCTAGGCCTATGCTGCAGCAGCCCCAAGTCAAGGAGGAGGAGATGCCCGAAAGAAAATGGCGGCCACCACTGAGGCTTCCCAGGTGGGGGGAAGGGGAGACTGCCAGGTCGGGCCAGACACTGAGCCCATCCCCCGCAGCCAGGCCAGCACCCATCCCCTGCCTGTGACCAGGGTCTCCAGGAGGTGCTCCACAAGCCCGCCCCTCAGGCCACTGAGCCACAGCTGCTGCCTCAGGAGGAGTCCGCCCCGAGTGTCCGAAGGAAGGGCCGGCCTGGCCCGAGCCTGAGCCCCGGCTGAAGCCCGACTCTCCGAGGCCGGAGCCCCGGAGAAACCGCCAACCGCCCTGAGAAAGAGAACTGCAGGAGGAGGGGCAGGCAACTACAGCCTCGCGGGGACCGAGCCCCTGACGCGGCCGCTGCCGGAGGAGAAAGAGCAGGCTCGGGAGAGGAGCCCCCAGCACGGCCCCGGCCCCGGCCCCGGCCGCTCTGGCGTCCAGGGACTCGGCCCTAGCTCCGCTGATCCCGGGCTCGGCGGAGTGGTTCACTGTAGACCACTGGCCAAGGCGCGTTCCTAGTGTCCTTCCGCCACCGGGAGAGGCTTTTCTCGGGGTCCTCAAGGATCTGTCCGAAGGAGACCCTGGTGCACTCGCAGCCCTTTTGATGGGAATTATGTGCAGTTTGGGCCCCGTGAAGTCACGGAGCTCCCCAGTACATCGTTCCGAGAAGGAACAGAAATCAAGGGAGACTTGCGTGGTGCCGGTGCTGATGACCACTCTCCCATTCAGCTACCAGAACCTAGCCTTGCTAAAAGCCTGTGCACTTGGAAACCACCTCCTCTCTTTCCTGGAGGAGCACCTTATCCTCCCCCTTTATCAGGGACACAGATAACCAATCAAGACTTCAGCCCCCTCCCTGGAAAACTGAAAGACCTCAAAGGAAAAGGTACAGGGAAGAGCCCACTTCCATGTTGAATGCTCCCAAACTAAGACCCAGACAAGTATTATGTGACAAGTGTAAAAACAGTGCTGTTGCAGCAAACAAAAATAAATAAACAAAGAAATAAAGAAATAGGGGGCAATGCCGGTGACTCTTCTAAAGAGGAAGATGACACAAAAGGGAGTAATGAAAGTGTAACTGCTGTGAATATAAAACTGAAAACTGACCCTGAAGTGGATGCGAGAAACCAAAATGACAGCCAGAAAAGAAATGCTGTGGTCAAAGTTTCAAAGAGTGCTCAAAGCAGAGGCAGGGTAAAAGTCAATCAAGTAGTTAAAAAAAAAAACCAAAAAACCAAAAAGAACATGGATCATGCAGAAGCCAGGAAGTGTGAAAATGGCCAAAGAAAAGGCTCCCAAGAACCCGAGTGAAACTTCCACTTCCAAAAACGCACATTCTAAGGTTGCTTCACCCCTTGGTTTCAGCACCAGCTCAGGTGCCATTGCAGCCCAGTTGCATTTGAAGCCACAAAGAGAGAGGAATGAAGAAAACTGACTCTTCCCTGAAGGCTAGACTTGAGAAAATCTGGAGTGGTAAGATGGCAGCCAGACTCCAGTCTCCCTGCTCCTCCAGCAGCTGAGCAGATGCAGGCCTCTTCAGAAAACCAGAATCCCTATGTCCTGAAGAGGCCCACAGTGAAGTTCATGTGCTTGATGAGTAGGATGAACACCAGACATTGGGCAAAAAGGGCAGCCAAAACCGCATCACTGTTTACACGACCACAAATCAAAAGACATCTGACTCTTCATCAGTGTGTTGCCGTGAGAGGACATGTGATTTGAAATCTTCTGATTCCCAATGTAGTTCTACTCCAAGCTTTGATTTTCTCCAGGCTGTATGCATGCACTTTCCACCTCTTTCACTTCATCCTCTTCAGAGGAAGAGAAAAAAGCTCCATAATTCCTTGAAAATGAAAGTCTTGTCCGAAAACGTCTCTAGATGCATCACGCCAGATGGCATGACAGTATATGTGGGGCCGTTGTTTGGGCCAAGATTTATGGCTTCCCATGGTGGCCAGCCTGTATTCTTCCTGTAACTGTAAGCCAGAAAGGTAACGGCCTGTTAGTCCAACAGGAGGCCCCTGTTTCATGGTTTGAGCCTCCAACAACATTTTTCCATGCACTACTGCAACTGTCTCCCTTTTCAGAAAGCTTGCAGTCATGCTTCAATAAGAAGAGAAAGGCCTTGGATCCCAAGGCTATCACAGAGGCAGCTAAGGCTGCAAAGTAGCTGACTTTGGAAGTGGGGCCCTGTTAACACAATTTGAAACATGAACGTGGATAGTGAGGTAGGAAAGAAAAGTTTGGAGGCTCCACACGATTTTATGAGGCTGGTTAGAAATAACTTATTCAGAATACACTTGGTCCAAACCGGGAAGAGAAAAAGAACTTGCACTCAGTTGGCTGCTTTTTTTAAATACTTAAAATGGATCTCTTTGATAACTTTCCTGACAGGCAAACTAAACCAATTGAACATACAATCAAATTCTTTCTTAACATGAGAGTTTCACAATGTTCTCAAGTAAAAATCTTGCATTTTAAAATTCCTCAGCCTTCCCCCAAGGTATAAGAGCCACAGCCTCAAGTGAAGGGCATTTTTATGCAGGGAATATGCATCAGTGTCTTCTGAATATGTAGCCTAATAGTATGGGACACAGGTTACAGCTGTGTGGGAAGGTAGTATAATAGCTGTGAGTTGGGCAGTCCAGTGGGAACATTTGGGATTTTAGTGATCACTTGTTTGTTTGTTATTTCTTTCTTTCTTTACTAAATTAAAGAACACAGATGCCTTTCTCTGCCCGCAAGACCACAAGGTTTACACTTCAGTTTCTGACAAGCTGAAAAAGGGAAGGATGCTCACAGTTCAGGGGTAGGCTGCAAAATTGCTCCAGAGTTTGCGATCAAGGATTGTCAATGTTTCGTAGTTATAAATCATAACTTCCTTTTTTTCTTGCAAGGTTCTTACTTGGCTGTTTAAAGAGGTTTGTTTTGAAAACTGTAAGTAATTGATTGCCAAATTGGTCAGATTTTCTCCTGACTGGCTGTTCCTAAATTTTCAGGATACATACTAGTGAATTACACTTTGTCTATTATTTGTCATGCAACAATTGTTGCATTTTGGATATACCTAATTTCATAATTTTGGGACAAATTATTTCCATTTCAGGTATCTGTTTGCAGTTCAGAAAGTAAAAAAAAAATCTAATTGTGTAATGCTCTGAAATGTACTAAAAATGTAACTAAAATTGACTTAATCTGAAAACCATAGCTAGAAATTGTTATGCTTGAAGAAAGCTGAATTGATGGGTGGAGAAGGGAACACAGGAGAGTCCACTGGTGAGGACACACTTAGAAAAGGGGCACTCTATCCATAAAAGAGTCCTTCCTGAGCCACTACGGAATGGCCAATGGTCCCCCAAACCTACCATTATGAGACAGAGAGACATGGCAGTGAAGTAAAGCAGGCCAGAGTAGAGGGGCGCCATGGCAGTGGGACACTAGCGATTTTGAGTTTGTTGAGGGAGTGAGGAAGTTCCATCCACATGTCCCGGGCAGTTCAAGGACAGTGAGCTAGATGTTCTGTCTCCATCAATCAGTCAACAAGCATTGATTTAGTCCTTATTATATGCTAGTCACTGTGCTATTCCTCAGATCTTGGCTTTTCCTCCTGTCATATAATGAGGTCTTCTGGGTGTTTTCATTGTTAAAACTTATCAGAATGGAGGGGCAGCAAGTGGCACAATCGATAGAGCACTGGGCCTGGAGTCAAGAAGACTGATCTTCCTGAGCTCAAATCTGACCTCACATATTTACTGGCTGTGTGAGCCTGGACAAGTCACTTCACCCAGTTTGCCTCAGTT